CTTTAAAATGTGCAGAGAATCCACTGGAAGGGGAAAAACCAATTAGGAGGCTATTGAGTAGTCGAATCAGAAATTCTAATGGTTTACATTAGAATGAGAGTATTAATAGTTGAAGAGGTGAGAAATGGACAGATGTGAGAGACGTTTAGGAGGTAAACTGACAGATGGAATGGATGTAGAAAGGAATTAAAGAGGGCAACCAGGTTTCCGATTAAAGCATCTTGATGGGTAGAAGTGCCATTTCTTAAGAAGGAAGAACAAGCAGAGAGGAGGAGCAAATCAAGAATGACATTTTAGCTACTTCAAGTTGGAGAGATCTGTGAGATACTCAAGTGGAGATACCAAGTCAAATTTGTTATAAACTTGGAAGAGGGGTTTGAGACACAGATATCAATTTGGAAATTACAATCATTGGGTTATATTCAAGGCCTTGAAACAAAGATTAGATCACTGAGGAAAGGGAGTATAGAGAGGCAAAGTCCCAGAACAGAGCCCAGAGAAACTCTAGTTTTGGGGGAATGAGGTAAAGAGTGGCCAAAGAGGAGAAAACTCAGAAAACTGTAATGCCACAGAAATCCTGAAAGAGGCTGTTTAAGGAAGAGTAATGTGGGTAGCTGCTGCTGAAAGATCAAGAAAACTGAGAATAGAAAGAGACTGATGGCTTTGACCACATGGTGGTCATTGGGGACCATAATCGGAGCAAGGGCACCCAAAATAAGAAGTGGTGGTCAGAGTGTGGAATTCTTAAGATTTTTTAATCTTGAGATTTTGGGAGTGATGCATATTTTCATTAAGAAAGGTATAGGATCCTTGGCATGGTCCTGAGAGTAAGTGGATGAGGTAGGGTAGATGGCAAATCATTGGAAATGTAGAAGTTAAGAAACAAAAATGTTTGTGTGTTCAATGGCAAAATTGTCAACAATTTGAGGTGGAGAGAAAGTGTAGTGAAACTGTGGTTGCCAAGCAGTCTTGAACGTACTCATGACCACAAATTTTTAGTCAACTTAGTCAACCAATTTTCAATATTTTTATCTGCTTCATTTAGTGGCAAGGAAAAAGTAATAGAATGCAATTCAACTAGAGTTGGGGTTTTGCCTAGTAGATATGATAGACAGCTAAGAGGAGAAAGGGAATGGAGTGACTTTAACATGAGTAGGTATTGTTTTCCTATTGCTGCTGTAACAAATCACCACAAACTTTGTGGCTTAAAATACAGACTTACAATATTAGAGTTGCAGAGGTCGGAAGTATCATTGAGCTGAAATCAAGGTGTGGGCAGAGCTGTATTCCTTCTGGAGACTCTAGAGGAGAATCTGTTTCTTTGACTTTTCCAGCTTCTACAGCCTGTCCACATTCACTGGCTTATAGTTACGAACTTCCTCCATCTTTAAAGCCAGCAACATCAGGCCAAGTCTTTCTCATGCTGCCACCTCTTTGGTTCTCTCTTCTAATTCCCTCTCCCACTTTTAAGGACGCTTGTGATTGCATTGGGCCTATGTGGCTAATCCAGAATAATCTCCCTATCCTAAAGTCAACTGATTAGCAACATTAACTCTATCTGCAACCTTAATTCCCCTCTGCCAGGTAACCTAACAGACCCACAGGGTTCTGGGGATTAGGACACAGGCATCTTTGGGGAGGCCAGCATTCTGCCTGTGATAATAACAACACATAATGGATGGAATTTATGTAAGTAGGCAAATGAAGAAGATGGTAGGAAGGTAGAGTGAAAAAGTGGTTAGGTCAGCAGATTGGGGAAATAATCTGATGGAATTGAAACATTGTAGCAGTAGAGAAAAAATTTTCTAAATGGTGCCATTTCTGGCAATGGAAAATGGAAAAGGCTAGTGTAGGACCATGGGGGTAAGCATCTGATGTAAGGTTGGAGAAAAGATCAGATGAGGAGGTCATGGAAGTGGAATTCCAGGGAGTGGGATGAGTCATCCCTGTGGATGTTAAAGTCACCAAGAATGATGAACAAACTTCAGTGTAGGGAAGAAGACTGAGGATGCAAGGAAAGGCATAAACCCCACAAGCTAGATGAGCCTGTAAGTGAAAAGGAGCCTGTGGTGGTGCAGACTTGCCCAGAATTGGAAGAATGGAGCCCTGACATGCAACTCCACTCCCAGGGGCTGAGCTCAAAGTCACAGAGTCTGTGCAATGACCCCTTGGGATGTGGGGGTCAAGGTCAAATCCCAAGAGAGACCAGCATTCCAGACTGTCCCCCACCCCTCTCGTGGCTTCCACGAGCAGCAAGAAGTGCTGGACTTGAGGACTGTGGGCTCTCCCCCACCTGCAGGGAGATGGGACTCTTGTGCCAGAGTAGGCACAGAGTAGGCACCCACAGCCTACTCTGGCTGTGACACAGTAGACTAGGAGGCAAGCAAGGGACCAACTCACTCCCTGTGTGTGGGGGGCGGGGGCAGGGTCTCCCCTGAGGAGTGAGATCCCTCATTGTCCCCAGCCTCACAGCAGAATCACACTAGGTTGCAAAAGCAGAAATCTCACACGAGGCCAGGGAGACGATCCCAAGAGAGAAAGGAAGAGGGGATAGCAAGTCCCTTTGTAGACAGTCAAGCCCTAGGCAGGTAGAAGAGGAACACCATTCATGGTGATAGTGATTCCAAAGCCCTTTGCTTCATTTAGTAAACATTTATCAAACACTGACCTGGTGCAGAGCCCTGTGGCAGGCACTGTGGGTGTTACAAACTTGAGGCAGGCCTGGACGTTCACCCTAAAGGGCCTGTGCTTTCTTAGAGGAGCTAAACCATGTCCATGCATACCACTGTCATTCAGGATCATGTCTGGTGAGGGTGGTGGGGGACAGATATAGAAAAGTAGACTGCCTGGAGGCGATGAGTTTTGAGCCAGCCTGTAAAGGAGATCTTTGGGCTGGTCTTCCAGGGTGTTCCCTACCATCCCAACATTAAGTGGAAATCTCTGAGGGTTGTTGTGGCTTTAGGTCTCTCCCTCTGGCCCACTTTGACCCTGATGGTGGGTCTGCAAATGGAAAGGACTTGGCCACTTCTGTTGACTGATAGACGGAGGTGGGGTGGGGAAAGAGAGCACCTTTCCCTAAGAAAATCTGAAATCCTGGGTTGTGCCAACTACCTGACTTGGCAAAGATCAGATGTCATTGGTGGGATAGCTGGAGATAAAGGAAAGGTAGCAACTACACACCAGATATAAGGGAATGTGACATCCTGGATGGGTCTGCATCTGCAGGCAACAGGCTCAGGCAGATAACCAAGGCTATGGAGATTGTTCCATGGACTTCTGGCTCACCTACTTGCCATGAAGAGAGCCCCAATGCGGGAGCTGGGAGGACACTCTCCCTCAGTTTCACTTCAGGTAGTTTCACTTCACTTCTTGAAAGCACACCTGCTCAGCTTTTTCCTTTCTCTTCTGTTTGCTGGTGCTAACTAGTTTCCCCTCCCAGGGACTTGGAAACAACCGTTAAGATAGCTTACTGCCACTGCAACAGAACCATCTCCTCCAGGATCTGCCTCACTCCTTGACAACAACTTGCTCCATAACAAGCCCAGTGCCCAGTCCTATCTCCCTGCAGAAAGAAGCAGCTACTGCTGTGCACTAGAGACCTCAAAATTGACAGCAGTCATCACATTGTGTTTCACACTCATTGATAAGTGGACAAGGCAACTGAAGAGGAAATGATTTAGTATAAACTGGAGTCTCGGCAAATATATTGGAACGTTGACACTATGCAGCTGGGAGGGCTCAGCTTCCAGAGGTCTGAGCTAACCTCCACCCCAAAGAGGGGCATAGGAATGATGGGGGAAGAGGTACTAGGATGTAAACCATGAGCAGTCTGTCATCTTTGGATTTCATCAAACAAGCAAGAGGTACAAATGACAGTTGTAAGGAGGCGTGGCATTGGTACATGGAAGGCACTCAATACATTTGGTAAATGAATAAATAAATGGTTTAATGAATAAGGTTGATCACTTTAGGTAGGAGGTGAAGAAGATCGGAGGGCACTGACCAGGCAAATACAGAAAAGAATGGTGGTACAGGCCAGGCACGGTGGCTCACGCCTGTAATCCCAGCACTTTGGAAGGCTGAGGCTGGCAGATCATGAGGTCAGGAGATTGAGACCATCCTGGCTAACACAGTGAAACCCAGTCTCTACTAAAAATACAAAAAAAATTAGCCAGGCATGGTGGCGGGCACCTGTAGCCCCAGCTACTCGGGAGACTGAGGCAGGAAAATGGCGTGAACCTGGGAGGTGGAGCTTGCAGTGAGCCGAGATCACGCCACTGCACTCCAGCCTGGGCGACAAAGCAAGACTCTGTCTCAAAAAAAAAAAAAAAAAAATCGTGGTACAAAGAGGAGTATGTGTCCTATGGAAGGCAGGAAACCTACTTAGTGATAGTAATTATATAATAGTCTCCATATTGCTTCCGGGCCTTGCAGAACCTAAAATGTTTCCTCTGCCCTTTACAGAAGTTTCCCCAATCCAGGGTGCCTCCACATTGGACCACTATAGTGTTGCTAATAATCGTAAAATTAAAAGGACAGGACTTGTGTGGACCTAAAGGCTAGCCCTGGGCACTAAGGCCTCAAAGAAAAGGTGGAGTTCTGGATTCTGAGTTGTCCTAGAGCTTAAGGGCCTTGATCTTCATTGGACGCAGAGCATGTCAATCTGAAGTTTTCAGCAAATGAGCTTAGAGCTCACTGAGAACCCCTGGTTGACCCTCCCGGTCCCGCCCCCTGTCACTTGCCAACCGGAATCTTTCCCGCCTTGTCTAAGTCCTCTCAGGCCAGCCTTGGAAGGAGGCTCCTGGGATTGGCTCCCTGCCCTTCCCACCTTAGGGTGTCCTCTGAGAGAGACTCTTATTCCCTCAGTAAGGAGACAGACTCTTATTCTCTCAGCAACCAGACCCTCACCTCCCCTCAGCCACAACCACCTCAGAGGCCACCGACTTCACCATCGTCGCCTCAGCCTAGTCGCCACTTCAGTTGAGGCACTGACTGGCGTCATGTCTGCCACAGGGGATCAAAACCCGATCCAAGAGGACCGGAAGGCCCCAGTGAGCCAGGAGAGAGCACAGGCCGAGGCGGGAGGTGACCGGGAGGCTGGTGACTCTGGCCCCGACAGTGGCGACATGGTGCCCGTGGCCGAGGTGGCCGGAGTCACAGGGCCCACGAGAGGCCTCGGGGAGGAGGAGGGTGAGCAGGC